CTCAGCTACAAAATTGTATTTGTTTGCGCTGGTATGGAAAATTAATGAAAAAATTTTGTCCCACGGGATAGCCCGGGTCAACGTCCTCCTATTATAGTAAAAACCAGATTTTGGTTGAATAAATAACCGGTAGATATTCGGCTTTTATTTTCGTGGCGTTCGCCCCGCTCGTCCTGAAAGTCGAATATCTCCTTATGTAAACAATAAAAAAAATCCGAAATTTTTATACTTATAGTCTATAGTACATAACAAATTTAATTTTGATTTTTAATATACTAGTTATCGATCTGGTTTTTGCTACAATTTATCTTAAAGCTAGAACTAAATTTAAAAATATACAGGATCTTGTAACTTGTGTTTTTCAGCATGGATTTGATCGCTGAAAGCGCCTGCCGATCCACTGCGATGTTCTCTTCCTGGTTGAAGTGGTTTTGTGGATGTCACTGGTGTAAATCCAGGACCTCGGAGCCACGTGGTGTGGGAACTTAGGAAAGTCCCTGGTTTCAGGCAGGAAAATTCTGAAAATTTTCTCCGATGTTCCTCAGGTCAAATGATAACTCCCCACAGTCCAGGAGTCGTAGGTCACCGCTGCAAATCCCAAGATATTCAGCTCCAAAGGTTGAATTAACCCCTAAAATGAGGTTTTTTGCACTTTTCTTCAGTTTTTCACACTTTTCCACTTTGGTGTGATACACCATTCGATTCGTCTCGTCGAGACGAATCTTTTGACGTAAAGCACTTTATATTACGCTCTAATTTTCCAGACACTTTAATTTTTCGAATGCGGAGCACTGTAAAATCGTGACGCTTGGGTCTAGCGCTAAATAATTTGTTGGTTGATTAATATATGATGTCTCAAACTCGAGGTGGATTTTAAAAAAGTACACTTACGGATCACATTCTGGCTTGGTCCAGCAGCAGCTGGCGAGCTTGCCGCATCAATTAATTCTGTAAAAAAATAAAGATTTTACAAAACGGAGTCAACATTTTCAATGGTACTCATATGTAATGTATTTGGTTTGGGTTGTGTATTTTTACTTGCGGTTTATGTTCAGGGCATAACACTTACCAATAATTACTTCGGAACCCGGCTCAGGCACGAGCTCGGGTTCAAGCATGAGCTCGGGTTCAGGTTGAGGTTGAGGCAAGGGCTCCGGTTCGGGTACGGCCACAGCGATCGCCGGGGAGGGCACAAATTCACAAGTGCTGCGTTCCGGTGATGGATGTCTAAAAGTACACACATATATATATTTATATATATTGGGAATGTTCATCTTGTTTTACAAAAATATGAAGTGTCACAACTTATACAAACTTATAGTTAATTTATAAGTAATAATATCACTTACTGAGCGCGCTGCTTGCGAGGGGGTGCATCGGGTAACAAGACCCAGTTGCAGTTGAGCCCTCCGCTTCCTTTCTAATAGCTCTTGGCGTGCAGCGACAGACAAGCTACTTTGGTGGCTTTTCGTCAATTGACGCTGCATGCGAATCCGTTCCAAGACTTCTTCATTGCTGAAAAAAGTAGAATAAAAGTATAATACAATGAAAATAGGCTTTACTTCATAGTATGTATGTTACCTTTCCGGGGTAGTACCACTGGCACCTGCTGCAACCTGGGTGCCCGATCTGAAATATAGTTATTTTTTTTATTAAAGTTGCACAGCTAAATTAAAATTATAAAACCGCATTGAAACATATACAAAATGACAGACACACAGAAACACCAAGCCTTCGTGCGCGAATCCGACTCGCACGTGGCCGGTTTTGTGTTGAGTCGGGGATTAAAAACAATCACTTACGTAGAGGCAATGGCATCTTGCCCCCGGCCGCGCCCACGTCCACGACCGCGCCCACGCCCACGGCCGCGCCGGCCTCGTCCTCGTCCAACAATTTGTTCATCAGAACTAAAATAAAAATGTATGGAATTTAGTGTTCTGTTTGGATTGGTTGGAAATCGCCGCCCGCGACATGTAGGTTTTTTTATGCCATTCACGGTAAAATATCTGACAAAGTGGTGGTTATGAATTCATGGTAAATTAAATGATTTATGGGTTTCAATACATATACACTGATATAAAATATTATTTTATGAATTGTTAATTTTTTAAATTAAAATAATTACAGTTGTATTATAGTAGTCAAAACATTGTTTACAGTTTAAGTAACATTATTCACGCATCTCATCAAAGTCGCTTTCGTTTGAATCAGAGTCATTAACATGAATAATAAATTCATTGTCCATGTCGAAAGTATTGTGAATATTGTTTTTCTATGTCTTCAACATGCCGACATGTATTTGCCCACATTGTACTGTCAATCATTTCGAGTCGTTCATTTATTAGTGCCATAATGGATGTTAAATTTTGTGCAATATTTTTACTAGCAACGTAGTTTTTTAATATCCCCCATATATTTTCATAGGGATTAAGTTCCGGTTTTGATTATGTAATGAAAGGTGACTTCATGAATCTTCTCTGAAGTGATTGTTCAATTTGACGACTCTGTAAATAATAATACAGGGAGGAATACGGGTCTTATCTTAATTTAAACTAAAATTAGACCCGTATTCGCGGTTTGCAACAAATAAATGACTCATTTCTATATTTGAGCTTATAAATATCTCTTTGCAGGATCCACACTGGCTTATTGGATTTTTGTAATAAAAATCCAGCGACATATGCTTGTATTTCTGAATTATTTGTATCTAGTGCTTCATCAACTTCAAATAGCAACGTTGATGTTGAAGTAGATGAAGCACTAAATACTGTATGGTCTCCTTCTATATTCGATTGCTTGGGCTGCGAAACTGACAACAAGATATCAAAATGATTGATGATGACACTGCTGTCAGTTTTTCAGTTTCCCGTCGTTTCCATACGTGATAAATTTGATAAGATTGCCGTTTTTAAGCCAGCCATAAATTGACCACAGGTTGGGTTTGTGTTTGAACTACAATTCACACGGATGCACCCGAAAAGATTTTCGAGGGCAACCTGTTGATGCCTTCTTGTGGCCAAATTCTTTATTTTATGTTTTTGGGTTAAATTTCGCCACAATCTTTCCACCGCGTTCATTGTCCATATTCAGCCTTCCTTCCTGCCTTCCTGAGGCTTGCGTGGGCACCCAATAAATTTTAAATCAACAATAAATGCTTTCATCTCATGAAAAATGCCAAATGTGGGTTCCCTGCCGTCAAATTTGTTGCGTGACGACTCTTCGTAAATCTATGAATCGCTGTTTAAACAATCAAACAGCTTGTCCATGTTGGCGACAATGTTGGTTTACTGGAGAAAAGAAACTTTGATTTGATTAATATTTAAATACTCAAATTATATTTACCTCTTTAATGAGAACTGCAAGTCTATCCGCTATAGAAAAACCACTTGAAAAATATTGTGCCATTGGTTGCTTAACCCTTTGTCGAATGCCTCTTTGTGGCATTAGCATTTTTTGCTACTGGATCCTACCAGACCATAGTTGGAGACAGCAGGAGGCATTGTGTATCTCAATCCAGCGTTTCCAAAGCTGTAAAGTAACTTACAATGGCCTTAAATAATAGAAATATACTTTATAAATTTATTTCTTTCGTCTGCAAGAGCGAGAACAAATAAAAAGAGAGTAAGTGATTAACAATACATTGTGATAGTACATCACTCAATTATTATGTTGTTTAAATTTAATTCTTATCTCAAGTTTTACAGCAAATTCAGAATGCATAGTTTGATGGCTTGCATTGATGGCACATATCGCACCTTGAAAACCTTACCGTCACTAAACAAAATCCCTGTTTTTTGGGAATAAGCGATTAAAGTTTTTTTTAAATGTTTAGTTCTAGATTGTCTTTTAAACTGCATAATTAGAAAGGCTTTTATGTGTTACAGCTTTCTTCTTTATCCTAGTTTGAAATGCCAGTAAACTTTTTGCGAAGTTCTAAGGTTTCTAGAACAAAATTATAGGTTTTTTTAAAAAATATACTAAAAGTGTCACTATTCCACTAAACATTTCAACAGAAACAAAGTAGTGTCATAATTTTGTAGTACAGTGCAATAAAATAAAAGTATATTTATCAATAAAAAACTGATTAAAAAAACTCACTTTATTACCAATATATAAAAACAACCTAGTAAATAAAAATGAAAAGTACCTTCCCACTGTACTTCAATTATAATAATTTTAATAATCAACAAAAAAAAAGACACAATAAATACTTTTCTTATAGGTGTGAATAAACTTTCTTTAAAAACAATTGGAATGTTAAATTATGTTATGAACATAACAGAAAAATTAATAACGTTGAGAATATTTGAAGGCTCGTCACGTTACAGTGACATACTTGTAATTCGAAAAATTAATATTAAAATAAAATCTGTTTCGTGGTCATTTGATGACACTTAAACCTTAAACATTATAATGGCACCAACGAGATTACAACAATCAACTTAAAATGTATTAGGAACAAATTTCAGGAAAATAGAGATTATTTCTAGGAATCAATCCCTTCTAATAATACGTACTTAATGGTTTATTATGTTATCATAAAACGAGGAAGCGTAGTACCTAGGAATATGATTAGATTGAATAAGAGCTCTCAAATCAGCCTTTTTGCGTTCAGTCAACTGGAGCTTCGTATTGTAAAGCCTCTTTAGTTGGGGACGACGTCGAATGTTCTGCATACGTACACTACGGGATTGCGGTTTAGATAAATTTATTTCTTTAAAGAAATCTTGAAAATAGGAAGTTTTGTAAAAAACTCTAACTCTGTTGGTATCATCGTCATTAATTAGTCTTTTCAATTCTTATAATTTTTATATCACCTATTTTGACTGTCTCTCCATCCGTATTTTTATTAAGTTTTTGGTCCGCCAAGTTCTTGATATTATAAAATTCACTGTGGCTCATTTCATTTATAATGAATTTGTTGCCCTTTTTTTTCGCGTCCCGTATTAGTTGTACGTACTGGTCGGGCACATAAATAGGACCTGATCTGAGTGCTTTTTTTATTTGCCTTTCTATTGTAGAGTGAGCTGCGTCACCCTCATTTTGGGTGTGACCTTTTATTAGAAATTTATGGGTGATAGACTTAACATTCGGCATTTCTTCAACAGCATAAATGTACAGAGATATGATAAATTGATTTTTTTGTTGGCCACAACAATTATCTGAATAGAATACTAATTCCAAAGGTTCGGATGTAGCAGCAGATTTCTTCTGTAAATATTAGTATACACACGTTCCAATTTCGCATGCACCTCTTTGTCCTTCAACTTCGTTCCAAAAAAAGCATTCAGTGTTATTTGTACCGAGTTCGCAGATTGTAAAATTAAAACAATTTAATTTAGATTTATAATAAAATACTGATACGTCACCTCTTGGTACAGGTAACACTGCTTGTAAATCGTAACAAGCCACAATTTTACTTGGACTTATTTGCTCTTTATCTTTAGTTTTTTCAATCCTGCTCCTTTCTTTTTCCTCTAAATGATTCTGATATTTTTCTTCCAGACTACTCTTTTCTTCTTGATTAGCATTCTTATAGGATGTGCACAAATCGCACTGATCCTTTTTAGGAATGAAAAAGCTGATGTTAAACTCTGTATTAAAGACTTTTCTAAAAGTGTGAATTTTCACGTATTCATCATTGTTTTTTAAGCATTCCTTTTTGTAATCTGCATATAGATCAGTGAGACTTTTACCGCCGTCAATATACTCTCTTGTAGTCTGTTTACGCAAGTAATGGCTCTCAATCCTGGGAATTTTATTGATGTGCTTTCTAACTCCTTCTAAAAGCACTTCTGGGATTTTTGTTGCGTGTTTCTCATGTTTACCTCTTTTTTCAGGCTCTACTATACCAGAAGTATTTAGTTTAGAAATACCAGTTCTTATAGGCCGGTCATTAATATCAAGCGTGTTTTTAAAAAAAAATTTGCACACTCGCTGTTTCTCTCCATTTACTGTGAAGTAAAATGCATGTCTTGGTAATCTGTTATTATGTAGCCTTTTGTATTGGTATTTGGGTTTTACCTCAGTCATACTTTTAGCAATAAAATCCCTCTGCCGAGACAATGAAGCCATTTTCCAATATTGTTCGAAAATCTGCTGGCGAGTGTCTTGCGAAAGTCTTTCTGAGCATTTCAAGCGGCAACGAACATTACAGGGCTCTTTAAGTTGTCTAGAACTTGAATCAAGGTCAGTAAGAAAATTTATAGAAGGGGGACAGTAAACAACTCCCAGGACTATTTTGACACCTTTGACAGTAACTTCAAGGAAAAGATATTCCATGGAGTCGAAACAACCCGAAGATGAATATAAAAGTTTGAAAGGTAAGACATTTGACAAATATATGGCAACCCCACCGCCACCTTTGCCAATACGATCATTTCGAATGAGATTATATCCTGGGAGGTCATATGAAATAGAATTTAGACACGGCTTAAGCCAACTTTCTGACACCAGCACGGCATGAGCCGTATCAGAAGAGAAAGTGTGGAGGAGATCAGTATAGTGCCGTGGAATGCTTTGTGCATTGATGTGACAAATGTTAAGAGTATCACAGTAACAATGAAGTTCACGTTTTAGAGCAGTGCTAATATCATCCAAGTCATCCCTTGAATCATCAATAGAACTATATGTAGAATTATCGTTAGCAGAAAAATATTCCTCTGAATCCGACATCTGTATCAGCTAAAAACCAAAATAAATATAATATAAATATATAAAATAAATACCTAATGAATATAATAATATACTACCTAAAACAGAATTATATTAAAATAAACACATAAACACTAGCAATAATCTGCATCCACAATTTACACACATCCCACTGGTAGACGGTTTACAATTTGCACTTATGTATTAGTCATCAACAAACTTTAAAAAGAGGCACGACTCGATTACAAACAGATTAGAAAAAGCGTAAAAACATTGACAAGAGTAAAAAAAAGAAAAAAAGAAAAAGAAAGTCAAAAGGCCGTATGGGCATTATTCCCTTTGCCTTAATTGAAAAGGGAGAATATTAAAAAAAAAACACTAATGTTAAAAATGTGTTCTGTCACTGTCACTTGACACCTTCAAAATTAAAATGATAGATTAATTAATTATACCTTCATGTGATAACAAATTATGACAATTGTGATTGGAAGGAGAAATTATCATTACAAAAGTAAAGACGAGTCATGCCATGCACTATTTACAAGACGGTTGTACTAGCGAGTTACTTAGCGTTTTTGTTGACTCGCTTCGAACGCGTCTGCAGCACCTTGGAAGATTGAATTGGATCTTCAGATACGACTGTCGACACCTCAGGCACCACCGATGACCCCTCCGACACCACAGCAGCAACAGAAGATGGCTTAGGGAATCTCTTAATGAGTTTATTCAGTTCTTCCATTGAGACAATGCGTATTCTGTCACCATCCGGAGTAGAAATACAAATGTTACCGCTTGATGTCCACACACTTTTGATGCCGAAATGCTCTCTCGCTGCTCTGAATGTAGCCTGTCGGCTTCTGGTCAGGAACTCGTGCAAGACTAAATCGGAGCCTTTCAACTTAGTCTTGTTCTTCCATACAATAGACCTAATGCTCTGACTGGTGAAACGAAGAACAACTGGCCGACTGCGCCCCTCACTATATCGGCCCAGTCTGTAACACGCCTTGATGCTCTCTCCAGTAATCTCTGAGAGTCCCAAGTGTTTTCGAAGCAAAGAGAGAGCGCTATCTGCCAATTCATCATCGGATTTCTCTGGAAGCCCACTAAGGAGTAAACACTTCTGCCGATGCCTTGTCTCAATTAAATCAACAGATTTGAGAACTTCCGCGATCTGTTGACGCAAGAGGAGCAGTATGTTCTGTACAACTTCCCTGAATGTGTTGAACTCTTCCCGGATCAGCAGCACCTTATCCCCGTCCCCATCTTTCTTGGAAGTGGATGATTTTAGTTGAGCCTCCAGGTCGCTCATCTTCTTCATTAACATTGACTCCAGGGACTTCTGAGTTTCCAGTACTGCAGCAACACTGGCCATGGCTTCAATTGTAGAGAGATTAATAGTGATATAGCGCTGTATTGTGAAGATAAAAGTGGTGATAGGGATGTGTGGTTATAGCTGCCTAATTAACCATTTAAGAAAGTTGCCCACAATATATGTTGATATATGTGAGTTCCCCTTTGAATTTTTAATAAGATTTGACTTTAAACTTTAATGTATATTTTATTAAGCAAATTAAAAATTTCTTGGGATTAAAAAGGATGTTACTAATTATTCGCCTACCCTAAAAACAGCGCTACAAGGTAGCGTTGTTGTGACCCACCGGCACCGGGTTGTCCCGGTCAATTGGTAGAGGGCACGGTCATACCGACGCCCTTACCAGCCTCACCGGTCGGACCACCGTACGTGTCCTTATTGAACACGGCGTGTTGTGTCCCAGAGTGGAAAATCCACTTGACCGGCTTCTGCTCTTGTTCGCTGGCGCCTTCCTTCTTTGGCGGCGCGGGGCGAATTTTGGCAGGAATGAAGCTCGCTTCGACGAGGGCCTTGGTCTTTTCAGAAAGACCCGCCAATGTTCGTTCGAAAGCGACCTTAACAGCGAAGGGAGTCGCTGGTGATGCCTGCTTTCGCACAAATACACGTGCGAAGGCCTGCATCACCGGCGCATCCGGCATGTTGAGCTCCGACGGAAGCGCCCAACGGACGCGCACCGCGTGGTCAGCAGCCACCTGAGTGGAGACCTTTAGATCATCTATGGCCACCGCCCGGGTCTTCGACCTATCCTCTGGCGAACACAGGGAGCCGCTCTCTAGATATTTATCGAGAGTGGCCAGGCGTAGTGCCTTTCGTGCCGCAAGGCGGACGAATGGTGGCGCCATCCCTGACGGTAGAGAGGGTGTCCCGTCCTCCTCCCAGAGGCCCTCGGCTCCGAGGACCTCTGACAGGTTGACGAGAAGGCTCATATCCGCGTCGTTCATCTCCTTTGAGATCAGAACGGGCGCGGGTGCGGGCCCCTTGGCCTTGGGGGCCTTTGCCCCCTTGGTCTCGGCCTTATCACCGACTGCTTTGCCAGCAGGCTTTGCCGCCTTAGTCGCTGGTGCGGGCGCTTTTGTGCCAGCACTAGGCTTAGCGGCGGCCTTGGCCTCTTTGGTCTTCGGCTTAGGGGGCAACTGAGGTTCCGACTTTTTCGGAGCAGGCCCCGGCTTGGGCGCAGCGCTTTTGGCGGGCGCTTCTACCGGGGTCTCCTCAGACAAGGACGATTTGGCGGCCTTTTTGACCGCACCGTCTGCCTTCTTCGCCGCCGACTCTCGCATTTCCTCGGCCGTGGACATATCGTACCACGACGTCAGATGCGACTCGGGTATCAATCCGAGTGACAAGAGCCAAGGCTCCCTCGGACTGCGGTGCCCTAGTTCGTCGATACGCATCTTATCGATGCGCTCGCGTATGGAGTCTTTATTGACCCCAAACTTCTCGAACAGAGCCAACCTGTCTGCACCTTTAGTCCGCTTTAACGCGGTGATGCAGGCAAGGTACGCCTTCCGGCGACGCTCGTCAAGCGCTGGTCTTTTGGGTGGGACAACAGCGGGTTCGCCCCGCTGCTCTGCCCCCTTCTTGACCGCCCCTTTTGGGGACGTCTTGGCGGACTTCGTCGTTTTGCGACCAGCAGGTCCGACGGCACCTACGGTTGCCGACGCGACAGAAGAGTACGTTCGGACTTCCTGGGGCGGTGCTGCAAAAACAGTCACAACTCCAGGTTGACCGGTGTACCTAACCCCGCGCGACAAGTCTCCCGTCTGACGCCATAAGGCGCAGGCAATGGTGACAAAGTCGCCGGCGTTAATGGGGCCTAACACAGTTGGGTCGTCCTCATTGATCTTCAAACGAAGATCGGATAACGCGGCAGCCAAACTGGCGATGCTAGCAGTCGTTGGAGAAGGGGCCCTTTTCGGGTTCTCCTGACCAACGCCATGCGTAGTTTTGTCAGTCTGTGGGGTACTATCACTTTTTGTGGTATGTCCCTCCATTATACCAGGAAAATTCTATATTGTTATTTTCCAGCCCGTAGGCGCTGAATTAAGATGATAAAACTTATTTTTAGTATAGCATGGTAATCAAACCCATCTAGCGGCCGTTAAAAGAACTAGTTATCTGTCAAATAGTTATCGAACCGTGCTTCGTGTATTCAGAAACACACTGGCAGTTAAACGACGTTTACTTTTCCACAACTTTAACTGGTCAATAGCTATTGGGGGTTTAACTAGTGACTTCAGAAACCGGGCATTAGTAAATTCAGGCGAGGAAGAAGTATTTTCATACCATTTCGATAATACACGTGGATGTGGTAATGCAGTGTGAAACACGCTTCATATTTGTAGGCAGCAGAAGAATAAAAATTAAGTGTATGTGCAAATTTTCTATCTTAATTGTAGGCATTAAAGTTACCATCAATATTGGCTTCTGCACAAGTAAATTTTACCTAATCTATGTCCGCAGCGGGCACATCCTTATCGCACTCACGTTAAAAATAGTTCGCTCTCTCTTTTTTCACATGTATTATTTCGTCCTTGGGTCAGTCATCAAATTGTTCGACAAAATAATTGAAATATACTAAATACTCTAAATAATTTGCATACTTACATGTGGTATGAGATCCCTTGTGTTTAGTTTACTTTGGAGTCATAATTGGTACACTTTCGAAACACAAACGATGGCATTTTTATATTTTTTTTTGTAAGGACAGATATCTACCTGACGGCACGCTCGTGATCAGGTTCGAGTGGTCTAGAGGCTCCAGACGGAGAGGAGACTCCCCCCATGGAGAGACACCATCCGCCTGGAATACCTCTAGAGGCTCTCGCCAATTCTCGGCTTGAGATCCCCTTAGGATCTCACCGTCTCCAAACCCGGTGACGCTGTAAAGGTCATCTGAGACCAACAGCATACACACTCAAAAAAAGATTGCGTTCGACGCAGACTAATTACAAGACGTCCCACAGCATGAGCGTATAAAACATATCTGCTTCTTATTTATATAATATCATTGGTATGTGTGCTTTTTTTAATTTTGTAGAAATATTGATTAGTAACGAATCGAATGTAATATTAATTAGTTAAGAAATGATATCATGTAGTAACTTTATAAGATTCAATCGTTAGGTAATTGCCTTAGTTTCTACTTTAGTCGTATGCTGATTTAAAACAATAAAGGGATGTATTTATACTATTGATTTGGTGTTTGGTAATGTATGAATTTTATTATCAGAAGTGAGAAAGATACACGAAACATGCCACGAAGTGGGACACTTACGCGGGCCACCCGGGACGCGTCCTGTCTAGCTGCTGCTACTCTCTGGTCGGCGTACCTGTTAGTTTCTGTCACAATCATGTCTATAAAGTCAGTGTCGAACATTTTATAAAAAAAGGTCGACCGGTCGAGTCGTTGCGGTTATGGGGAAAGTGGGTCCTGGAATACCAGAAAATACCTCTCTTTCCTCAGTAAAAGTCTGTCTGTCTAAAGTCCAGTTAAATTCATAATAGTCGTCGGAAGAAGCCAACTCCCGAACGTGGCGGTCGCTGATTCCTTACTCTACCCGTAAAGTCTCTGCGTCAGTAACGGTCAGTCCCGTATTGTCCGCTGGTTGGTCAGTTGCGGTCCGCGGTGGCGCAGTCGTGAATGAGATGCCGTCATCGAAGGAGTCGAAGTCAAGGTCGTCATCGTCACTGTCTTGCGTCTCGAGTTGGTGAAGACAGTCAGTCACAGTCGTATAGGGGGTGAACCAACCTTTCCCGTGGTGTAAATTTCAGATTTTTTAATTTCTGTTTGGGCATAAATTAAAAGGTTACAAAATTTGGAAAATAATTTCTCAGCTACAAAATTGTATTTGTTTGCGCTGGTATGGAAAATTAATGAAAAAATTTTGTCCCACGGGATAGCCCGGGTCAACGTCCTCCTATTATAGTAAAAACCAGATTTTGGTTGAATAAATAACCGGTAGATATTCGGCTTTTATTTTCGTGGCGTTCGCCCCGCTCGTCCTGAAAGTCGAATATCTCCTTATGTAAACAATAAAAAAAATCCGAAATTTTTATACTAATAGTCTATAGTACATAACAAATTTAATTTTGATTTTTAATATACTAGTTATCGATCTGGTTTTTGCTACAATTTATCTTAAAGCTAGAACTAAATTTAAAAATATACAGGATCTTGTAACTTGTGTTTTTCAGCATGGATTTGATCGCTGAAAGCGCCTGCCGATCCGCTGCGATGTTCTCTTCCTGGTTGAAGTGGTTTTGTGGATGTCACTGGTGTAAATCCAGGACCTCGGAGCCACGTGGTGTGGGAACTTAGGAAAGTCCCTGGTTTCAGGCAGGAAAATTCTGAAAATTTTCTCCGATGTTCCTCAGGTCAAATGATAACTCCCCACAGTCCAGGAGTCGTAGGTCACCGCTGCAAATCCCAAGATATTCAGCTCCAAAGGTTGAATTAACCCCTAAAATGAGGTTTTTTGCACTTTTCTTCAGTTTTTCACACTTTTCCACTTTGGTGTGATACACCATTCGATTCGTCTCGTCGAGACGAATCTTTTGACGTAAAGCACTTTATATTACGCTCTAATTTTCCAGACACTTTAATTTTTCGAATGCGGAGCACTGTAAAATCGTGACGCTTGGGTCTAGCGCTAAATAATTTGTTGGTTGATTAATATATGATGTCTCAAACTCAAGGTGGATTTTAAAAAAGTACACTTACGGATCACATTCTGGCTTGGTCCAGCAGCAGCTGGCGAGCTTGCCGCATCAATTAATTCTGTAAAAAAATAAAGATTTTACAAAACGGAGTCAACATTTTCAATGGTACTCATATGTAATGTATTTGGTTTGGGTTGTGTATTTTTACTTGCGGTTTATGTTCAGGGCATAACACTTACCAATAATTACTTCAGAACCCGGCTCAGGCACGAGCTCGGGTTCAGGTTGAGGTTGAGGCAAGGGCTCCGGTTCGGGTACGGCCACAGCGATCGCCGGGGAGGGCACAAATTCACAAGTGCTGCGTTCCGGTGATGGATGTCTAAAAGTACACACATATATATATTTATATATATTGGGAATGTTCATCTTGTTTTACAAAAATATGAAGTGTCACAACTTATACAAACTTATAGTTAATTTATAAGTAATAATATCACTTACTGAGCGCGCTGCTTGCGAGGGGGTGCATCGGGTAACAAGACCCAGTTGCAGTTGAGCCCTCCGCTTCCTTTCTAATAGCTCTTGGCGTGCAGCGACAGACAAGCTACTTTGGTGGCTTTTCGTCAATTGACGCTGCATGCGAATCCGTTCCAAGACTTCTTCATTGCTGAAAAAAGTAGAATAAAAGTATAATACAATGAAAATAGGCTTTACTTCATAGTATGTATGTTACCTTTCCGGGGTAGTACCACTGGCACCTGCTGCAACCTGGGTGCCCGATCTGAAATATAGTTAATTTTTTTATTAAAGTTGCACAGCTAAATTAAAATTATAAAACCGCATTGAAACATATACAAAATGACAGACACACAGAAACACCAAGCCTTCGTGCGCGAATCCGACTCGCACGTGGCCGGTTTTGTGTTGAGTCGGGGATTAAAAACAATCACTTACGTAGAGGCAATGGCATCTTGCCCCCGGCCGCGCCCACGTCCACGACCGCGCCCACGCCCACGGCCGCGCCGGCCTCGTCCTCGTCCAACAATTTGTTCATCAGAACTAAAATAAAAATGTATGGAATTTAGTGTTCTGTTTGGATTGGTTGGAAATCGCCGCCCGCGACATGTAGGTTTTTTTATGCCATTCACGGTAAAATATCTGACAAAGTGGTGGTTATGAATTCATGGTAAATTAAATGATTTATGGGTTTCAATACATATACATTGATATAAAATATTATTTTATGAATTGTTAATTTTTTAAATTAAAATAATTACAGTTGTATTATAGTAGTCAAAACATTGTTTACAGTTTAAGTAACATTATTCACGCATCTCATCAAAGTCGCTTTCGTTTGAATCAGAGTCATTAACATGAATAATAAATTCATTGTCCATGTCGAAAGTATTGTGAATATTGTTTTTCTATGTCTTCAACATGCCGACATGTATTTGCCCACATTGTACTGTCAATCATTTCGAGTCGTTCATTTATTAGTGCCATAATGGATGTTAAATTTTGTGCAATATTTTTACTAGCAACGTAGTTTTTTAATATCCCCCATATATTTTCATAGGGATTAAGTTCCGGTTTTGATTATGTAATGAAAGGTGACTTCATGAATCTTCTCTGAAGTGATTGTTCAATTTGACGACTCTGTAAATAATAATACAGGGAGGAATACGGGTCTTATCTTAATTTAAACTAAAATTAGACCCGTATTCGCGGTTTGCAACAAATAAATGACTCATTTCTATATTTGAGCTTATAAATATCTCTTTGCAGGATCCACACTGGCTTATTGGATTTTTGTAATAAAAATCCAGCGACATATGCTTGTATTTCTGAATTATTTGTATCTAGTGCTTCATCAACTTCAAATAGCAACGTTGATGTTGAAGTAGATGAAGCACTAAATACTGTATGGTCTCCTTCTATATTCGATTGCTTGGGCTGCGAAACTGACAACAAGATATCAAAATTATTGATGATGACACTGCTATGAGTTTTGCAGTTTCCCGTCGATGATAATTTGATAAGATTGCCGTTTTTGAGCCAGCCATAAATTGACCACAGGTTGGGTTTGTGTTTGAACTACAATTCACACGGATGCACCCGAAAAGATTTTCGAGGGCAACCTGTTGATGCCTTCTTGTGGCCAAATTCTTTATTTTATGTTTTTGGGCTAAATTTCGCCACAATCTTTCCACCGCGTTCATTGTCCATATTCAGCCTTCCTGCGATGGAGGCTTGCGTGGGCACCCAATAAATTTTAAATCAACAATAAATGCTTTCATCTCTTGAAAAAAGCCAAATATTGGGCTCACTGCCGTCAAATTTGTTGCGTGACGACTCTTCGTAAATCTATGAATCGCTGTTTAAACAATCAAACAGCTTGTCCATGTTGGCGACAATGTTGGTTTACTGGAGAAAAGAAACTTTGATTTGATTAAGATTTAAATACTCAAATTATATTTACCTCTTTAATGAAACTGCAAGTCTATCCGCTATAGAAAAACCACTTGAAAAATATTGTGCCATTGGTTGCTTAACCCTTTGTCGAATGCCTCCGATCATAAATTCTAATGCATAGCTGGCAATTAGCCCCGATCTTTCCCTGCGTACCATGGTCTTGGTATCCTTCCACGATGTCATCTTTACAATTATAATTTAAGTGCTTTTTTATTGACATCATCGAACATTAAAATATGCGGTATGGCCGCGATGCTCCAGTCCGCGCAGTAATCGCAAAACTAGGTTTGGTATCTGACCTGGTATAACTTCTTCGCCCTCAGAAATATGGGATCCTGCGTGAACCTCAAAGCGCCACAAATAACCACTGCGGGAATCGCATATTTCATATGTCTTTATACCTACCTGAGCGGCCTTGTTGGGTATATATTGTTTGAAGTTGAGCCACCCTTTCCATTGCGCCAAAGACTCATCCAACGCGATGTTTTGGCTCAAATTATACAGGGACTGAAACCTATCGTTCAGGTGATCGATGATGGGTGAAATTTTAAATAACTTAGCCTGTGGCGGTGTAAGATTTCCGAGGTGATCGTTATTATTAAAGTGAAGACATTTTGACAACAACTCGAACCGCCTAAGGGACATGTGGG